GTGTGGGGCACATGGAGGTTGAGGGCAGAGTTGTGTGTGCAGGAGGGACAACCAGCTGCCAGGCTGTGGGCTGGAGCAAGGAATGGGCCCGTCTGTGTGGAAACATGAGACAAAAACAGTTGTTGTAGACTGCTCAGTGGGGAAAAAAGACCTTGGCACAGCTGGTCTGATTGAAACATGGTGGGGGTGATGAAAATCAATAAGACACTGCATTACCTGCCATCACACTGTACTGAGCAGGTGTGCTGGGGCATGAAGGAAGAACACAACATCTAAAATTTGCTGTAAAATCTGAGAGGAAACTGGAGTAGTGACGACCAAACAGCCGCATGTATGTTGGATATAAATTCTGTATTTTAATGACATGGAGATGTTAGGAAGTTTTCTATACCAGACTAGAAGGAAGTTGTGGATTTCATGGGGTTTGGGAGAAAACTAAGGCTCATGCATCTTCATAAACCTGTAAGAAAAAGTAAATTCCATTATGACCATGCTATCACAGGTTGTTTGGGAAGGAGCTGGCTAACATTTTGGTGAGCAAACATGTCAATTTACTTAAAGGATCATGTCTTGTAACAGCCTGGTCTGGAGTAAGCCTTGCTTTAGGACTAAGACATAAGAACTGGTTCAAGACACAATTACTGATGAGTTGTTAAGTAGCAGCGACCACAGTACAGTTACAGGTTCAGCATCCTCAGGGGTGGAAGGCAGTGGACTAAAAAAAAAAATCACTTGTGTTACAAGATATTGCAGGGGAAAAGATCAGAAAATAAAGTCCTTAGCCTTGTCAAGGCAGCCCTGTAGATACCTGGAAAGGTTGCAGGTGAGACACAACTCTGTCGTGAAGGAGCGAAGTAAAACAGTTGTTAAAAATATTTATAAGGAAGGGGCTAAGGACAGAAGTCCAGGTCTTGAGGAGCAGACTGGGTGAGCCATGGGGTAGGGCAGGTGACCATGATCTGGAAATAAAGCAGTTTTGGAGGGGCTCTGCAGAGCCAGGGGCCTGGAGGAGTGAACCCTGTCTGAAGGACATCAAAGAGAGGGCCGGGGAGAAAATCTGGGCGTGCAGGACCAATGACACAGTTCATTTCCTGCACTAGTTCGTGCTGCTGAGGTGACTTCCCCGTGTCACTCGGGAGCGAGTTTGAGAGCCTGCCATCACCCAGTCCCTTTGGGTACTAAAGATAAGGAGCCTCCCTCTGAAGCTCAAGTGTTTGAGGGCAGAGATGCTGGAGCAAAGTAGCAAATTCAAGTGGAAGGGCAACAGGTGTATCGAGGGGGTTTTTAAGAGTTCGGGAGAGCAAAAATAGGGCTGTTAAAAACCAGCTTAGTATTCTCCATGACTAGGTAACATTCTAATGTTGGGTTATAATTTTTTTTTAATTAAAGTATTAATTGGGGCACTGGCAATTACAGATCAGCAACCCTGAACTCTGGTTGGAGAAGGAGAAGCTGAAACACTGTAACTTTTCAGTGTGTGAGAGGTGGAAAGCAACATACTTTCCGCAAAGAAAGGAGGTTGGACCAGGTGGACCTCCAGGGTCCCTTCGAACCAAACCATTCTTTGATTCTGTGACCAATCTTGTTTTCTGGGCCATCTACCAGACTCTTTGGACATGTTGACAAATAGCAGGAGGTGAAGAATGAACTGATCTTTATTTGAGTGTTTATAAAGGTTTTTATCAAGTGCTTCCAAGAAGGCATTAAGAAATATGCTTCCAACGAGAAGAGAAATATCACAGAGTCCTTCTTTGGTTGCAGTTGATGTTGATCATTTGTCTAGTCTAGCTGGAGAAGGTGATCAAAGGCCTCCAAGTCTGCATCTTCAGCCTTTGACCAAATGAGTTTCCTTCCATGGTTTTATTAATCCCAAAGTTGCTGGGTGATGGATGGTTGATTTTCATTGAACTATTCTGCTGGACATAAGTAGGTCCAGGCTGCAACATCTGGTTGGGTAAAGGGGAGAAACAAGCCCAGAATACTGGGTAGCATGGGATCTAGGTTTGTCCTGTAATGCAACACCCCCAGTTCAAATTCCTGCCCTGAACTGGACTTGCAGGTCTGCCAGATGCCAGACAGTGCCTCAGCAGCTGATGTTGTGGGTATGTTCTGTTTAGTTCTGTTTTGACCAAGAAAAATCCTAAAAGGCAGTGGTTTTGATGATGGGCAGAAAGGGAAGGAGCGGGGAGAGAGGCCTGGGCAGCATCTTGCAGGTGTTTTCCTTTCAGGAGGGTTGGTGGTGTGTGTTCTCATGCAGACTTGTGTTGCCTCTCTTCCCAGGAGACCCCGGAGGACCCACAGGTAGCTGGTCTCAGCTGGAGCAACCCTTGGCTGCTCTGGCTTCATTTTAGGCTTGAAGGCATGCCAAATACCCTGGCTTCTGCCACCTTCCCTGTCTCCAGTAGATCATGGTACCAGAGAGTGAGTGCTTTGATGAGTTGTTGGAGTTTGCAACAGGAGCAGGTTTACTGCAGGTACCACATGGCTTTTGGTCAGAGTTCATGTTTAAAGACAGGAATTGGCAGCTGATGGAGCAGAGTGGTTGGGTTATGTTGGAAAAGTGACTCCAGCCTGGCCATGGCTGGAAAATTAAGAAGAGCATGATAATGTCTGTCTGTCCTGTGAGCGTGCAGCAGTGGGGCTGACCCTGGGAAATGTGAGGCAACAGGCAAAGGGGGAAAAATAAAGCAATTTTTAATGTTCCACCAGTATTGCTAGGCTGTAAGTGAGCTGCAAAATTGAAGAATGTCAGATTCTGTTAACAGAGCAAATGAGGTGAAGGTGTGTAGCCTGCCACAGGAATCCTGCCTATCCCAGGTCTGTGAGGCTGCTGAGCTGAGCCTGCACCACGGCTCATTAGACCCCCACAGTGTCCCTGTGCTGTTCTCCCTGGTCATCTTGGGTGGTTGTCACGGCACAACCTTTGTCCCTACTCCCTAGAAATTCCTTAGATTACTCACTTCTAGTTAAATTATACCAGCTGACTTTGAAGTACTCAATATAAAACCGTCGTGGTATTGCTTGCATGCTAGTTCCTTGATGTAAGAAAACAATTTCTTGTGCTCTCTCTTTAGGAATTTGGGCTTTTGAGTTTTCAGTGGGGAGTGTTGTACGTGCCCAACTGCACAGGGTCGGGCCCATCTCTGTTTTAAAGTGTTATTTCACATCTGAGATTAGGAAACAAACCAGAAGATCAAGTTGTCAGAGGCTCAGGTGATCATAGTGACTCGTGCTAAAGGCTCCGTCCTCGTAGAGACCCGCACGGCTGCTTTGTGTAACTGCTGTCAGAGCTCTGGCGTTTTGGTAATAGCATTTCCTTCTAAATGTACTGAGTATACTCGCCTTTAAATCCTGTTAGGTACTGATAATTACTGTTGGTATCCTGTACATTAGCTCTGTACTAGCATTCACATCGGACTAGGCTTAATATCGTGAGTGTCAAAGATGACTTGAAAAAAGGAAACTAATTTATACCCTTCCCATGTAGTGGGTGGTTTGTAGAAATACCAGGAGTGCTGCAACTGTCTTCCCCCTTTTACCTGCTGTGATTTTCTGCAGGAGAAAATACAGATTTAAATCTATTTTTCCATTCTTTGGAGACACTGAGATATTATCGTGGTGAGGTCCATGGAAATACCCAGACAGACTGGGCCATCATGCAGAGATAAGGCATCTTTTCCATTTAGTTGTGTTGGTTTTTTTTTCTGCTGCTGACCATTCTCCAAGCTTTTTTTTTTTTTTTTTTTTAATGTAAAAAAGCTATTCCCTCATCTGTCCAGTGCAACACCCTCTAGGATATTTGTGGTCTTCCAGAAAAGGTAGACAGGACTGGAATAACTAATGACAAAAAATTGCCCATGGCACGGGAGGGCAATCCTTGTTTTCAAGATAAAACCCTATCCAGACCTTTTTCAGACACCCCTCAGCACACCACAAGGGTATAAATCCCGAGTTTTTCTTTTCCAGGTGATCTTTCAGGCCAAGTAGCAGAGGGCAGGGGTTTGCCCTCCCGGCGGGGCTCAGCCCCGGCACAGCCGGGGTTCCGCAGGTCCAAGTCCCCGGCACCTCGCTGGGCATTTAGGGAGCTCCATGGGGTTGGCTTTCACCGTGTCCTCAATTTGGATCCCCAGGGCAGAAAAATTAGGACTTTCTCAGTTAAAGAAAAAGCCAAAAGTGAAGCAAAATCTCTGGAGAGTTGTGTTTCCCCACAGCAGTGACGGCCCCTCAGCACCCACTTTCTGTTCAGCCAGGACCCCTGGGTCAGTCCTGCTGGGTTTTTAGCCATCTTGACCTCATGTTTGCAAATATTATTGGTAATATAATGCTCTATGTACAAATGTCTGTGTGGCTCATGTGTATGTTTCTGTGGTTCAAGTCAGCCACAGACTTCTGGAATTTCATTGTACTTTGGTTAAATGTTGGACTTTTAACTCTTCTACTGTATGGCTTCTTGATTTCTCTTGTCCAATGTGGACCAACTCTATTTTTGGAAATAAATAAGCATGTAAATAAAATGAATGGGTTTATGCCACTTAACAAGAAAATGCTTTATTTAAAATATTCACTCAGCCTTGTATATTTTATGGTATCTCAGGGAGCAGCGGAGGCTCAGGCCCCAGCAGCCTTAGTGCTGAGATACCATATTATGTACAAATTCTCTTCCAAGTGCTTTTGGAAGAAGATTTCCCATCTCCTGAGCCAAACCCCCATAGGACCAGCCTTGCAGAGGAGGGAGGGGGGAATCCAGGAACACGTAGTTTAAGGGGAGTAAAGGGAAGGAACAGGACTTTCCTCTCAACACAAGGCTTCTGGTTTGAGGTGTCCGGGTGCCAGGGATGCCACAGGGCGGTTCTGAGCTCCTGCCTGGGAGCACGTGGAGATCAGGAGCAGGATGACATCTTTTTTTTATTTTTATTTTTTTATTACTTTTTAAAAAAAACTTCTCCATATAAACCAATATTTACCAGTAATCCTGTGTTTCTGTTTTTGTTTTTTGGCAGACTTTTACCAGTAAATATCGGTTTATTCCTGAAACCAGAAGCCCTAAACATACCTTTGTTTATAAGGTCAGTTGGCATTTTGTCTCTCTCGTTCCCCACTCCTCCCCCAGTACAACCCAGCAGGTGATTGAAAGGTACCGAGTTCTCTTTCTAGTTTTCCTGCTCTGCATCTCTGGGAACTGGAGCCCGCAGGACCTAGAGCCTTCTGTTGGTAACGTAGACCCGAGTTTACAAATTATTCTTTTACCATTTTAAATCCTGCTTTTAAGGACAGAGGTGTTCCCTCCTGCCCACCACGGGGAGTGGTAGAAACCCCTGGCAATGCCTAAATTGCTCCTCCTCTCCGAAGCCTGCGGGTAGGTCTCTCACAAGCATCTTCAGGCTTGGGGCTGAGAAAACAATTTGATCCCCAAATATACACTAAAAAAACTGCCATTTCTGGTTTACAGTGAGCAGGACTGGGGGAGGGAAGGGCGGGAAAGGAGTTTGGAAATTATTTCCCCCCCCCCAAACCCCTTTTTTTTTTCCTAGAAAGCAAACGTGACATGGGGAGGAGGGAAAGGATTTTGAACATGGCCCTTCCTAAACTCACTGTAAACTCTTCCTCCAAGGCTGGGAGAAAGGGCAAGTGAAAGTTCTGATCCTTAAAAGGACATTGCTGGGTGTCTGGGACCCCAAAAGCAGCTGGTGATTTGTAAGGATGGGAATCACTTTTGGTTTATCGCAAGACAAATAGACTTGGGAGTGAGTATTGAAGCCTCCAAGTGTTTGTCACCCAAACACAGCAGCATTTTGCTAAAACACCAGAAACAGAGAAGCTGGTGAGGGATAGAAAATGAATTGACTGCATGGTCCCTGCCAATTTTTTTTTTTGTCTCCCAAGCAAACAAAATAAAAAAAAGAAAAAATCCAAACCCATCCCGGACCCCCAAAAAAGGTAACCTCCCAAAAAAGCAAGTCAAAGAGGGTCTCAAACATCCAGGTTTTGTAGTGTGTGGTTGTCAGGGGTGTTTCTGGCATAGCTGCAGCCCAACCATGTCCCTTTAAGGAGCACCATGGCTCGTTTCCTCCTCACGAAGCCCAAGCTGAGGGTTGTGCCGTTCCTGAAGCTCCTGCAGCCTTAGTTGGAGTCCAGAATGAGGGGAGCCCTTCCAGCTGTGCACTTTGAGCTGAAAACTACCTTTCCTCCCCTTTTGCAGCCTGGGTGGTTCTGATTGCTGGCAGTTCTGTAATACAACCTTAATCTGAGCAGTTGAGGCTGGTCCTACCTTATCTTCAGACGTCTTGCGGAGGACTCCTGTTACCAGTTTGGTACTCAAAAGCTCCACCCCACCATCAGAAGTCACTTTTTGTTTTTTTCCAAAGGCAGTGATAGCTCACCCTCTCTAGCTCTAATGGAAAACATGATAATTGCAATGCAACTTTCTAATAAATTGTTCATATATTCATAATTCCGTTGCAATCCCAAATTGGAGAAGAGATCTGTTAAAGGTATATATTAGTCTAGATTTTTCTTATTGTAAATACTGTAATTTTATAATACTGTCAATATTTTATTAACTTAGAAATATTTAACAGAGTTTAATCTATGGTAGTTGATTTATTTATAGGTTTATGTTGCAGCCAATTACATTCTAATGTAAGATTAACTTTCAGCATGTAAACATTGAGTGAATATATCATTGGAAAGATTAAGAGAGAAAACTCTTGCTCTTAATCTGTAATATTTACTCCCAGTTCCCAGTTGGGAATTATTTCATGAAATATTAGGAGGTTTTAAGAGCTCATGAACCTAAAAACTGCAGCTGGATTTGAAAACTTGAATTTTGAGATGTACCTGGCTCTTTCACCTTGTGAACAAGTTCACTTCAGTACCTGCTCTCTGTAGCACGGAAGTCTTTATTTTGAGCAAAGGGACACTGTCAGATCAATTTTAGATTTTTGGGTGGGGTTTTTTTTTTGGGGGGGGGAAGGCTAGGGGAGCCAAAACGCAGCCCCGGTGCGTGTGTGTTAATTCCTTTTGGATCACAAGGGGAACAGCTCTCTCCTGAGGCTTTGGGCCCCTGGGCGGAGCATTCCCGCAGCTGGGAATGCCGCATCCTTCATCCCTGCGGCCGGGCAGGGGTGGAGCTGCGGCCACTCCGAGGGGTCCCCGCAGTCCCGCGTTCCCGGCAGCGGCCGCCGTCGGAGCTCGGGGACGAGGGCAGAGCTGCACAAAGACTAAAACCTGATGGGTTTTGACCAAAGTTTTTTTTTAGTTTTAAGTCTCTCTCTCTCTTTTCTCCTGATGGTGTCCCTTTAGCATCATAAAGATGTTCTCTGAAAACCATGAGAAGTGATTTTCTTTCCGAGGCAGGGGAGAATTTGGTCTGTCACGTGTTTGCAACGCAACTTGCATAAAAATACCAAAAATATGCCGAGGGTTTTCACAGGCGTTGGTATCTTTTTGGAGTGTAAAAGTTAATCTTGATTAGAGATGTGCCAATCTATACTGCTTTCCTGTAGTGTTGTTACACTTAGGCATTTCAGTTCACTTACAAATATATACTGTAACAGTATACTTTGTACAGATTTATTTAAAAAAAAAATTATTTGAAAACTGAAATAAAGTAGGCAGAAAATAAAGATATTTATTTTTCATTTGACTATGTAAGAAGGTATCATTCTTTTGGTTTTAGTGCACTGGTGTACCAAGGCTCAGAACCACTGCTTTCTCCAGCTCATAGGATGCTTTTCCAGACTGTGGATACGTGTATGTGTACTGCTGTGTTGATAAGTAAAAACCAACGATGGAGTTCGTTGCTTTTATACATCCCAAAGAGAAGTTCTCCACCGTTCCCTGTCTGTTTTCTGACCGAAAAGGCGTGTTTGTGAACAGTGTTCACGCGAGCTCTGCCATCCCACCCTCACATCAGCTCACACCAATGCCAGGATGGGAGGAGTTGCCAGCGGACCTGCCCCAAAAACACCCCGGGCCGCAGTGGCATCGTCAGGGAGCAGTTCAAACCTGTGTCCTTTGGGCTTTGTGTAAAGCAAACGCAGAACAAGAAAAAAATCGAGATGTTAAATCCATTAGAAAACCAATTCCTTATTGTACAGTAGTATGGAGATCTCTAGTCAACCTGCCATTAATAATAGATTCTTATTTTTTGAATGATCTATTTAAAAGAACAGCAAGCATTGTATTTGCTAGTAAATCTGAAGTGTTTACATGGAATTACTAAATAAATTATTTGATCTAAGATGGCTCTCATCAGTGCTGATTTTTAATAATGGAAATTCATTTTGGCAGCTGCTTTTTTACTTCGTGCTGTTCTTTAAAATCTTCCAACGCAGGTTTGTGGTTTTGTTTTTGGTTTTTGGTTTTGTTTTTTTTTCACTGCATCCTTGTGGTTCCAGTTAGGTTCTGAGGAAGAGGCAGAGCCTGACAGGAGTGCTAGCTCATGTTTTCCAACCCCCTTCATGAGGCTGCCCCTTCACATCCCAAACAGCTGAGGTGGAGCAGGATGCTCTGAGCCCCAAGCCCTGCTGCTCACCTGTGGTTCTTCCCAGGCTGAGTCCTGGTGCATGGAGAGGGAGGAATTTATTTAGCAGAAATCATTGGGATAGAAGTAAAACACCATCCTGCAAGGTAACGAGTTCTTGAACTCAGTTCCAGTGAGGCTTGGTCCTGCTTTCTGCCATTCAAAGGCTCCAGGAACACCCCGTGCTCCCATCCCCGTTCCCCTGGTCGAGGCCCATGGATCCAGATTAGGAGAAGCAGAGAAGCAGATTAGGCCTTAGGATCATCAGCAAGGCCAGAGGCAAGTTTGGGGGGGTTCCACCCCTTCCCAGCCCCAAGAGCTGCTCTCTGACATGAGAGCTGTGCAGCCCCCAAAGCTCCCTGGTGCTCCAGGGCTGGAGGATGGGGTAGGGAATGCCCAGGGCGGAGCGGCTGCAGCTGGAGAGCGGCAGGAGCGAGAGGCTGGATGCAGAAATCCCTGTGCCAGGAGCAGCAGGAAGAGCAGGCAGGCGTTGCAAATGCCGAGTCTGGCCACACCGTGTCCCCCTCTAAGCGCCGCACACGCAGCTTTCCCTGTCAGGCGCTCGGACTGGGGAAAACGAAACTATCAATAATGCACCTGTCCCCGCATTCCCCGTTCCCAGCCTGGCTCGCACACGCGCTGAGTCACCCCATGTTTAATTCAGCGCTCCCAGCACCGGAGCCCTGGCTGCAAACCCGTCCAAGGCTTGCATTATGCACCAGCAGGAATTTTTGTTGGACGTGGATTCCACGCTTCGTGTTCAGGGCAGGATTCCCGTCCCGCCCCGCGCTCGCTCCGCTGGCTGCGGAGGGGTGAGCCCAGACCCTGCTCCACACACATGGACAGCGAGTCCTCCAGCCTCCCACTCCCCTTTCCCACTCCTCCCACCCGTGATGCTTTGGAAAGGCCCGGGATATCCATCCCTGGGCCCTGTGGTACAGCCCCAGGTCTCGCCGAGCCTTCCACCCCGGGAGCTCGCCCATCACACCACACTGTTCCACTGCAAATCATTCAGCTCTCACTTGCTCCTCTGCACAGCGTATTTACACACATCTCTTTCTCCTGTGTGAGCTGGCCCATGTCTGTGAGCAGTACATTCCTAGAAATTTGCTTTCTGGTTTGGGGGAAATTGAGCACAAGGGTAAAATGGCTCCATTTGTCTGAGTAACAGCAGGAAACCTGTCCAGGCCAGATGTGTCTCCAAGTTCATTCCCCCAGCCCTGGATAATGGTTAGTGCTCCAGAAGAAGCTGGAAACAGCTTCTCTGCACCTTTCCAAGCCATGCAAGGCCCTGATTCTGGATGAAAATACTTCCTCTTTAGCTTAATTTCCCACCCACTCCATAGCACGTGGGAGTGACCCACAGCTTTGATCCTGCTGCCTCTGGTGTCTCCTCATTTTAATGCTTAAAACAAAAACCAAACTGAGACATTGGGCCAAAACGCTGCTCACAAGCAAGTGTTTTTAGTAATTGCCCATGTTTGTTTGTAAGGGATGCTCCAGTAACTCAGATCTGGAGCATCCTGAGCTGGCCTTGCCTCACACGATGGCTCCCAACCAAAGCAATTCCTTCCATGCTGTCTTGCTTGGCATTGCAGAGGACCTGATGGCTTTTCTGGGAACTGGCTAAAGTAGGTTATCTGAGACAAAAAGAAGTGCCCCGGGGTGGCATTCCTGACCTAGGAAACCCAGCAGGTGCTTGTGCTGCCACCACCACTGCTGATCATGTGGAGAGGGGACTCAAAAGCCAACTGTAACTGCCCAGTCCTGCCACACAGGTGTTGGGAATAGAGACTGCTCTGGATTTCCAGGAATGCATGATTGCAGTGAGGAGGCATAGGCATGAATTTGATCCATCTCCCAAGAGCTGGAAGGGCAAAACTTGATTTATTTCACCCCAGATTCGTTTCTCCAAATCTAAAATATGGGAAGTGGGGAAAGGGAGGAGCTTAAAAGGTAGCAGAAATTCTGATGGTAGCATCAAAGAGTGGTTCGGATGGGAAACCAGCCTGATAATTTGTTGTACCCACCCACAGGAGGGATGGGAAAGGTCGGTTTCCTGCTGCATTTTATATATTTTTATTTTTTAAAAATTATTTTGTAACTTACCCAGCATTCAAGTTGGCCTGGGAACCAAAAGCCATGGCAAGGTCAGAGGGTGATTTCTGCTGCCAGGCAAGGAGGATGGCAGTGTGACTCTTGGGGAGCCATTGCTCTGTACCCCCAGGCAATCTGGGGCACAGATGTCTCCAGCTCTTCTAGAGCTTGGCTGGGGCATTCACGGGCAGATCCCTGTCAGGCAGAGTCTGCTGAGGGATCTGTATCCACGGGGCAGTGCAGCCAAGCCCTGGTAGCATTTACACTGGGCACTCAGTGCCAGGGGATGCCCACGGCAGCTTGACCCCAACAAGGGTGCCCTGGGAGAGCAGCAAACACAGAGGGGAAGAGGAAGGGACTGGGTTTGAACAGCAAAGCCCAGCCTGGCCCTGCTGTGCCTACAAGAGGCTTTCCTGCACCTCCTGTTGCTCTCCCTCCCAGAAGTGTCTCCCTGGGCCAGCCTGCATCTGTCACAGCCAGGGGATTGACCAGAAGGACTGAGCTGTACTAAAATCAGAAGCAGGAGATGCCTGAAGTGCCTCTCCCTGCCCTGCTGGGTGAGACAGACAGTGATGATGGCTGTGTCCTCCACCAGAGCTCACATCCCACAAGGATTCCCCTTGTTCACCTTGGCCATGGGAGTGAACCTGCAGTATCCCTGCCAGGAATGTCATGGAAAAGCACCTGGCCACGCTCTGCATGCTGCAGTGGCAGAGGGGTGGAATGGCCTCGCGACAGTCACGAGGGCAGGGGGTGGCCTGATGTGGCTGCTGGGCTCCCATGAGCTCGGGAGCACTCCATGAGTGAACAGTGCCTGCTCTTAGAGGGTCCTCGAAGCTCTTCTGAATGAGGGAGGTCAGATTTGCCCCCACCACTCTGCCCATCAGTGGACCCATCCTGAGATAATCCCGTGCAGCTGGAAGATCATGTCCCTCCTTGACAAAAATCCCCTCTGGTAGCAACAGAGAAGCTGTGGCTGCCCCATCCCTGGCAGTGTTCAAGGCCTGCTTGGAAGGGGCTTGGAGCAGCCTGGTCTAGTGGAAGGTGTCCCTGCCCATGGCAGGGGGGCAGAACTGGGTGATCTTTAAGGTCCCATCCAACCCAAAGCATTCCATGATTCTGTTAATAGCAGCAGCTTTCCCTGTGGTTGGTGGTTCCCCACGCCCTGTGAGGGTTTGCCCTCTCTCACAGCAGATGTCCCCAAAGGCTTTGTGATCAACACATTGCCTTGACCAGCAGGAAGGGAGCTTGAGGGCTTAATGGAGGGTGAAACAGGGGGTGCTGGGGACAGATGAGCCTCTGCTGCCATCCCCAACAAACCCCACTGCTCTTTTGGGTTTGCTGTGTTGGGGCTGAGTCCTGGCAGTGCCTGGCAGGAGTGGCTGAGCCTGGGGCTGCACGGTGTTAGATCCGGCATCCAGGAGCATCCAGGGACCACCCAGCCCAGGACTGGCCCCATCACATCTCCTCCTGTGCACCCAAAACCCCACAGCCCAGTCCTGTGGTGGAGATGCAGCACAAAGGGGGCCTGTTCAGCCAAACCCTGTGTCTGAGCACACTGGAGGTGACATCGTGTGCAGGATGAGCTGAGTCCAAGCACAGGGAGCAGCAGGGACGTAGAGAATTCCTGTGCCCAGCTTTGGTGTCCTCTGGCTCTGCTTCTCCTCCCAGTTAGGGGCACTAAGTGCCCCTAATCTTGCACTTTCTGTGGTGAATTTCCCTTAGTTGGTGTTCAGCCTGCAGCTCGAGGATTTCTCAGCAAGCTGCTGCTTTTCTGTGATGGAATTAGTGACAGTGGGTACAGCAATAGAAAGTAATTATTCAGTGACCTCAAAATGACCTTTAGATTTTAAAAATCTGGCTTTACCCAGGGCCAAACGTTCATGAACCTAAAGGAGCTTCTGGAGCACCAAGATTTGGGCAACAGCAAAGCACTTGGGAAGGAGCAGCACTGGGAAGTCTCTCAGTGGGTGAAGGATCCTGAGTCCTGCTGGTGTCCCAGCCTCCCAGGGCCATGATGTCCCTATCCAAGTGCTAAGACACAAGGATCCCTGGAATAGCCTGTGAAACCCCTGGCTGGAAAAGCAGCCCAGCCACGGCTTTTTGGGAAGTGGGAGGGACTACCCAGTCCACCCCCCAAACCAGCTGTGGGCACAATGGCCATTAGATGTGGGAACATCTGGCCACCACCACTGCCCATCCCAGGGCATTTGTGTCAGTCTTAAGGCCACCAAACCTCACTGCCAACGTGCTGGCAACAAAGCTGGCACCACCCTTGGCCCCAGCAGGAGATGCCACGAGGAACAGGCAGGAAAGACTTTCTCAGCTCCCACTCATGGCCTGCATCCAGTGCCATTGGACTGGGAACGGGCTGGGCAGGGACTCCTGAGCTCTGCTGGCCTTCACACAGACTCACTCCCTACAACATGGTCTTCTGCCCTTTTTTTGGATATGGGATGCCTGATGAGCCTCTTGGGAGATCCCACATGCCACCCAAGCCCCTCTGAGGAGGAGATGAACCTTGGACTGGGGAACCAGCGACCTCTGTGCCTCCCAGTTGTTCAGCCCCTACTGAAAGAGAAATGTTCTCCCAGGGATGGCTCAGGAAGCCAGGTGAAAGA